GTGTGTGTGTGTGTGTGTGAATGTGTGTGTTTGTGTGTGCGTGTGTGTGTGTGTACTCGTGGTGGAACACCAAACCAATGTGCCAGGATCTGGACAATAAAGATGTATCTTATCTTATCTTATCTTATCTTATCTTAATCTGTTTGGGCTCTCCTTAACTAGGGGAACTAGTTGAACAAGTGTGTGCCGCCTCAAAGGTTTTCATCATAGACTAGCATTTTGAGATCTTAAACTGTGCACTCTGACGTAATTACGGTTCAATAAGAAGGTCACCACTTGACTCCATTTAGAAACAAAATGAAGGGCAAAAATTTACACAGGGCTTTAGGGGGAGGCAGGTGTATGTACTCTCAACTATAAGAGATATTTGAGTTGTGCCCTTCATTTGGGTGCCCATGATGTGCACCAGCACAGAAAAGTTTTTACAGAGAGCAAAGAGCAGTGGCCACGACAGTGCACGACTTGGAGGATATCATTATCCAATCAAGTCTATGGTTTCTACAGACGTAAATTATCTTCTATAAAGAGAGAACTCACATCCTGCCCAGATGACAACGAAGGCCAGGATGGTAAGCCAGACCATGAAGCCTGCAATCCATCTCATCAGTGTGATCCAGAGCAGGGAGATCAACATGGAAATTCCAAGGCCGCTGGGGAAGGAGAAAAAAATTAGATTTTAATAAGTAAATGGAAAGGTTTAATGCCCCTTTTTAACACTGCTTGGGGGTTATTTAAGATAACGGACCTCTGAAGTTAATGTCCATCTCCGATATGACTAAGCTAAATGGATTGAGAACATTATAAACTTCACAAAACAATTTTCAGTTCAATAAACAATGATTCACGGATTCGAACCAGGACTTTATGTCCAGCATGATTAAAAAGGATTTGCTGTTAAAGAATGCAATTCATGAAGATGTATAGACCTATAACAAACTAATAGTATTAATGATATGCACATTATATATACATACACACAACATACACCTACACACACAAACACACACACACACACACACACACACACACACACACACACACACACACACACACACACACACGCACCCACACACACACTCGCACGCGGGCTCACTAGCACGCGCAAATTCTCTCACACATTCTGAGAATTCTCTCTTCTAAGTACATCTGTAACATTACAGACAGATAAAAATGAACACTCATTTTGAACAATTACAATTTGTCTAACATCTGCGTTTGTTGCAATTTTATTGTCCAAAAGTTGCCACAAAAAATGGCAAAAGTTGCGATAAAAGTTGCCAATAATTTTTAAGCTTTCAACTCTCAGTGACGACGTAGCAATATGTTGATAGAGGTAACTTCATCTGAAACACCAGGATTTCTTGTGCTCTGTTTCAAGCATCTAGAATATAATATATATCATTTGTAGCCACACAGAGTGTAAAGACGTGAAAAATAATACAGGTTTCACAATAGAATGAAATCAAAATTAGAACAGCATGGATAAATAGCCACACAAATTAACAAATAAGGGCGCGTGTCCACCTGTCCGAAGATTTGCCGCTTTAACCCTAAACGTGTGTAATTCCTGAAAAAGTAGATCCAGGCCTACAGGATATAACATGTAAATTATAAAAGGAACCACACACAAGGGGCCTGTCAGTGTCAGTGCATATTCGGTTTTGGTGGATACACACTCTAACATAACACATTAATTTTTTTTAAAGTGTAGGAACAGCGTCAAATTAAATGGCATTCCGAAGTATCAACACACAAAAAAGAAAAACAACACATCAGATCAATTCTTTAAAAATTTAACGCGTCAACAGATTAAAACACAACAAAGAGGGGAAAATAAAAGACAAACAGCAATATAAAGGGTGACCTTATTTAGGCCACATGTGGCCTAAATAAGCTAAACCCCCCTCCCTTACCTTATTTTGGCCACATCATAAGGTAGATTTCTTAAGGTCGAGATTCTACTGATCTTTTTATTTAGTGCGGGGGATTATTTCAAAATAGAGGATGATACTAAATGAAAAGTGGACCAAGGGTAGTTAAGAGTTGTGTGCGTGTGTGTGTGTGTGTGTGTGTGTGTGTGTGTGTGTGTGTGTCTGTGTGTGTGTGTGTGCGTGTGTGTGTGTGTGTGTGAGTGTGTGTATGTGTGTGAGTGTGTGTGTATGTGTTTGTTTTGTGTGTGGTTGTGGTGAGAGAGAGAGAGAGATCTAGAGAGAGAGAGTAAATGTAATAGTGTGTTTGTATGTGTGTGTGTGTGTGTGTGTGTGTGTTCTGTGCCTCTTCATCAAGACGTAACTTTGTAGAACACTTACAAAAGCTGTTGCGTAGGCCTAGTGTGTAATCTCTATTGAAGAGGAAGTGCGCTAACACACGTGCTGAAAGTTCACGCTTTCGCGCGACCGCAGATTCTCGACATGCAAAGAACTATTTCAGTTTTCAGCCCTAATTTTAGTTTCGTTTTTTCAAACAAAACCATCTGGGGTCTTGTAATTCATTCAAAAGCAAATTATATCATTTCTCTCTTGATTCCACTTCTGCTGTATTTTTAAAGATCTGGATTTAATTCACATAACGGTGGCAGAAAGGCAGACTGGTTGCACATAGGGCGAAAAAGGAAAAGAGTACACAGGTATCACCTCTAAAATCTTTATTTGTTTACTATTTTTGATACAGGGACTGCCAAGCTCACTTTTGAACCATATGAACCGACTGCTACTGAAATAAAATTGCTTTGGCAACTCTAAGGTGTTTATGAGCACCCACCTCAACCAGTGGTTGCACTAGGCCTAAGGCACTTTGCCCCATACTTACTTACCCGGTACTTACTATTTCCCTATACCGTCAGGTACATATGGCGGAGAGCAGTCGACGCCACGCTTGCCTGTCCCTGGCCACGTCTCCAATTTCGGCAAACCCAGGCCATGTATATTTGCCTCATACCTTACTGTACCTGTATAGTTTCCAGTTGGTCTTCCTCGTTTTCTTTTTCCAGTTCGTCTCCAATACCATGTCTGATAGGGCAATACTTTCTTCGACATTCTTAGAACATATCCTAAATATCTCCATCTTCTCTTTTATGTGGTCGCGTTGATATCTTCAATTCCAGCTCTTTCCAACACTTCATTATTTGTAATAAATTCATTCCATTTAATTAGTAAGATTCTTTGTATACATTTTGTTTGGAAGATTTTTAATTTTTGTTGAATTGTTTTAATTGCTTTCCATATCTCTGAACAATGCGTCAATACAGCCAAAATATTGCTATTATATATTTTTAATTTCGTCTTCAATAAAAATGATCTTCGACAGTTTGACTTCCATAATTTATTGTTTTTTAATTTCATAAAAGCGATCCTTGCATTTTTAAGCCTTTGGTAGACGTCGTAAAGGCAGTCTGCAATTTTGGATTGTTTGTTTGTTTGTTTAGTATAGGGTTTTACGGCGCTCGCAACTGCATAAGGCCATATGAGCGCGCGGGACACACCTAATACTTTTTCGTTGGTAGGAAATTTTGAATTTTGCCCGGGTGGCGGCCGAAGCCTACTCTTATCGATTTTAGACCACCAAGGGATCTTTAACGTGCGCAACTTGCACACGGGCCCTCCGAGATTTTTCGCCCTTGTCCGAGAAGGCTAGGTGTAGATCTTTCCTACCAGAAGATCAGGGGTGTGGCAGAAAGACAGCAGTTAGGAGGAGCCAAGGAGTAGCAGTAGAAAGGCTGCAGAAAAAGTCAGGAGCCCAGAGGAGGGGGCAAAGGAGGTGAGGGGGTGGGGGCAGAAAGTGGAAATGAAAGCAGACAACAGAACATTGCTAGAGAGCAGGAAAGGAGGTGAAAGGAGACAATTTTAGAGAAGAAATTTTTTTGGTCGCTACCCGGATTCGAACCCGGGACCTTTGAATGAGAGGCCAACACCTTAACCTCTAGGCCACGAGAGCCCCCCAATTTTGGATATAATGCTGCCATTAAGGTACTTGAATTTACTCATTTCTGCCCGGGATTCTCCATAAAGAATGATGCGCGTAGTTTCTGATGATAGCCGTTGTGCTTCCATTTTAGATACATTTATTATAAGACCAACTTTTTCCGCAACTTTTGCTATGGTAAATTGGGATGACTAAGACACCTTATTTATTTTTTACCTTTTTATGACTAATAATTTAAAAACTCATGAGTTTCAGTTGATACTTTTGGGTTTAAATTAGGGGGATGGTTGAATAATGTTGATTTGGACCCTTTTGGGGGCAAATAATAATATTCATTTTTTTTAAATGAAGGAAAAGAGGGGGGTGTTGTTTCCCCCCCCTCCCACTCCCACCCCCCCCCCGGCATGGGGTGACTAAGGCATCCTCATCTATTATCTACAATTATATAAAGGGCTTTTTTTAACATAGTAAACCCCACATCAGGGTGGGTGACGGCTTCCAGTTACCTCGTCACACGGTGAAGTCGTCACATACTTCCAGTGGTCTCGTCACAGTGATCTCGTCACATACTCGAACCTGTGGAAAACGAGTGGCGAGTTCACCGTGGATTGGTAGGCAAACCCACACATGTCAACCTTAAATTTTAATTAATAATATTTTAAAAATACAAAACCAGAGTTTATTCAATCAAAATCGACACATGTCAACCTTTCTGTTTCAACATTTTAGGGCCCGTGTCCATTTCGACGGACAACAACCGACCCGATTCCATCCGTCTCTCGGAAAGTTGATAGTTGAAATGGAGCACAGTATACTTCCTTAAAAAATCAGGGAAAATTCCGTTTGGCAGTGTCAACAGCCACGACATTACACGCCCCGACAAAAGACGTGTTAGTTGGAAAGCCGCTTGCCGCATTTTAGCAGGGCCGGGAGGCCGGAGCTTAAAATTTTTTTCTCGTTTTGAGTTTGGATTAAAAATCTCATGTCATATTATTCGTAATCAGCGCCTCAAAATTAGCAAAGTGTACTCGCAAACCATGTGGTTTAAATACATATTAACAATTTTACCAATATTCCTTTAAAATCCATACTTTTTCCCGCCTTGAGTTCATATGACCTATTGACTATTTCTAGCCCCGTACCGAGAACACAGTCAGCCATGACAGCGGTCTAACGCACACATATCCGGGGAATAAGTAGGCCAACAGACTAGACACTAGACGCGTCTTTTCCAGTCTGTGTGGACACACAAGACGGTAAGGACCCGACAGATTTCCTCCCTCCCTGCAGAAAAATCGGGCTGTGTCCGTCTCAATGGACACGTAGACTTAAAAAAGAAAACGGACATATTTTTGGGTGCAATATATCAAATATCTTGCCCACCAAGGCCAAACGTTTGTTCAAACGGTGGTGTGACAAAGAACGTGCACTCACGTCTCTGGTGTGACGAGTTCATTGTTAAGCCTATTCGGATACTTATTTTCGCCTCACGCTTTTCAGCTGTGTCGACTTAACCGTGTGACAGTTCACTGGTTCCCGTGGTGATAGGCATACTAACAGATGCATTTCAGTTCAGAAATATTATTGATTAATTTTGAATTGGGCAGAATAGTTCTCAGCATTTCATTCAAAACAAAACAAAAACCATTAACAAAGTGATGAATATTACGTTTACAGTAAAAAGTAAAGTAAAGCTGGTCCCGCATCCGATTTGGACATTGGGGATTGCCTTGTTAGTGAGACAACTTCCTG